GAGCCTTCAAAATCAGTGGTCAGAAACACAAAAACAATCACATACCATAGCCGGAATAATCAAATGCCCCCCAAACCATTCTCAATTTTCCAATGGTTACCGAGTGGCACAACAGAAAAGTGTTTGCTCTACCGTCAGGAGATTATGAGTTCAAATCCCTATAATGCTACTGGGAGCAAAACTGGCCGTGCTGTCTGGGTGGGAGGGATGAAGTTACTCTTTCCCCTGTCAATCATAGCAGTACTAGCCAATTATGGCATCTGTGAACTCATGTATGTGGAAGAGGGCAGAGAGAGCCTTATTTCAACTGTGTTACACTGTGCTGTGATGCCGCATGAGCAGCAGTTTGAAAAGATGCAGTTGGCTGCCTTCACGTGTCTCTGAGGAAGCACGTGTTAGCCTTCACCCTCCCCGACTGGTAGCTGTTGTATGTCATATGATGGGGGAGCTGGCTGGTGGGTGGGAATTGGCAGGTGACCAAATTGGGGAGAAAATGGGGGAAAAAAAGAAAAATAATGTAGAATCTTAAAAAATGTTGAATGTTATTTTACCATGGAGACCTACTGAAATGTACATTCAGTACAAATACATATACAGTACGTGACATTCTCTTGCCATGCATGTGTGTTTGTGTGCATGGGTGACATCATCAGGCCTGGTTTGTACTTCTGCATCTGCATATTTGCAAACACGCGAGGGTGTTGTGTGTGGGCGGTCACATGGGTGTCTTCATACTTGTGTTTGTAATATAACGTGAGCTAAATGAAAGTCTCACCTTTTACTACAGAATGTAAGGAAAAGAAGAAGCAGATCAATACTACTTCCTTCCATCTTCTAAATCACTGATAGCATGATATTAGGTATTAAAGTGGACCAGTGAGGGAATAGTTCAGGATTTTTTTTAGATTTAGATAGAAGCCAATGGCAAGTGTGGATATTATGTTAGTTATATCTAATATGTGTGAGCATGCATTTCATGTCTCATGTGAACATGCTTGACTCTCTCTCTCTCTCACTCTCTCTCTCTCTCAACATCAACACCTTTCACATACTTTTTCATTATTATAGCACTGTATCAGAGTGATGCCAGGTTTTCAGTTAGATTTATATTGAATTACTTTGACAACCTTACTCTAAAACCCTTGATAAAGGGTCACAACATCTCATCACAACGTTTCTGGGTAGACAACATAACACGTTTCCCCCAAATCGGCATTCACCTGAAGGCTGATTGATGACTGATGCATAGAATTGTTGATACAGCCAATGCACCAATCGTTTTTGGAGGACTACACATGAGCCTGATAGTTACAAGCCTTGAGAGTAGGATCACAGAGTAAAAACGTAAACATGACAACCATCTCAGTCCCAAGTTTAGTGTAAAATGAGTCAGTAAAATGTAATGTAAAATAAAATAGTTTTTAATTAATTATATTTGTAAGTAGTTTTAATGGTCGTTTTATTCTTACAAAAAAACACAAAAATATATCCTTGTAAGGATAGAAATTTATTTATACTGAACTACGTTCAGCTCTGTTTTGGCATCACATTTTATTTTCTGTGGCTGGATATCATAAGGTGTGCACTGCATATTGTACATGGCAATTGCGCTGAAGAGCTAGAGAGCTATATTATGCTATAGAGGTAGAGAGCACATAAAGCACAGGTCTATTTTTTTTTTTTTATTCAATCAATGTAATGTAATGTAATGTAATGTAATACTCTGTCACTGAATGTTAGTACCTGGTATAAATACGTTAATATTTTCAACTAATATAATTAGGTCCAAGAGCTGGGGATGGGGGAGTGTTTGCTTTGCGAGAATTTGGCCCCGGGTCAAATCTTATTGATGACCCTTCCACTACAGGCTTGGACTGCGCATGACATGAAGTACTGCTTTTAGCAGTTTAGCTTTTAGTGCAAAAGATTATACTGTGTATATAATAATAGGTCTACAAAAAAAATCAAATAAAATAAAAATAAAAATGAGCAAAGCAATGCCTCAAGGTATGTAATCCTTCCTTCAAAAACACCCCAGTGTCTCACTGTCGCTCTATTGAAGCTCATGCTATCCATATATTCCTGTGCTCATTTTACCGCAGCTCACAGAAAAATGTCAAACCTTATAAAAATCCATTAAATATGACAAGAAGAGATTTTTCACAGAGCCAAATCCATGTAGAAAGGGAAAGACTACTTTATTCTAGTAGAAAGTAGAAGAGAGAGAGAGAAAGGGGATCTTTGTATTGGCTCTGACAGCTAAGGAAGTGCCGGGAGTATAAACACACTTCCTCTGGAGTCCTTGAACAATAGGAGTTTAGAAGAGGACTCCTCTTGCCAGGCCCTTGTCAGTGCTGAATGCTACATTCTCGCCGCAGAGCCGTTGGCAGAAGCACCTGCCCACCAGGCTTTTTAACGACGCCAGGCCTCTTGTGTGCCACAGAGGTGCCCGTGTCCTTGTCCCTTTATTTAGCGGCCCACTCTGGAGGGGCTATTGTACTGCACAGCAGCGGCACTGCCAGCCGCCAAGCCAGCTGGCGCACGCCAACAACCAACAATATGCAATGCCGCTCACAATAGCCAGCTCAGGACAAGGAATTGTTACCGCACATTCATGCTAGCCTCCCTCTATTGCGGTGGATAATATCAATGGAAAAACACACACATACACACACAACTAGGACCGTGTAGATAATCAGTTACTGTATGTGGCTGACACTTTAAAATATCATCACTGCCTATTAGGTTTTCATGGCTAATTTTAACTAGTCTTTATTAAGGAAATGCAACTTGACAGATACAACATAACATTTGGTAGCTAGTTAGTTGGCTAGTTTCAGTATGTTAATCAAATCAAGGAAAACTTTTTTAAAAGCCTAAATTGTGCTTCTATCTATATTGAATAGATAGTGAGGAATTACATAGAGACAATACTACATGTTGGTTAAAAGAAAAAGTGTTTGTTTTTAAACATTTTGCACTTTACATGTTCATGACCTCGATTTAGCATCTTGTGGCCACATTAACTTGTGCGTACAATTAACTCATGTACAATAAAAGCAAACAAACAAATAATTAAGCATTTTTTTGTGGCTTGTCCAGTCATTTGCTGCAACTCTCAGTAGTAGACACTATGTCTAGGTCATTGTGCAAACTAAGAGGACGTACTGGATCAAGTGCTATTTTATAAGTTGCAGAATCATGAGGGAGATTTTTTTTTTTAGTCAAGTGGTTGTCTTTAACTATATTTACACATATATTTACACATTCCCACCTGTTTTCGGGGTGCCCGTGTTCAGCACTGAATTTATTTGTTATGTCACACTTCACAGTAGTGTTTCATGGCTTCTATGAAAGTAGACACTCAGGATTTTAAGAATTTGCAGTTTTTCGTAAGTATTTATTTTTTCACCTAGCCTACTAGGTTTATATGTTATAATTTTATTGTGGCAGCTGTATACAGTGTTTTACTTTAGTTGTTCTGTCATTTTTATCTCAGTTCCAATGTTATTGTGGAGAGGTGTGATTTGTTTGTCAGACCCCTCCCCTTTCCCATCGCCCTGCTCACCAGCAGATAAACACAGAGTCATGATACTCTACACACAGAAACCCAACATCGGCCCTGACTAATCATATAACAGACTTGAATAATTCATTTGTTTATACTAATCGAAAATGTCCGATAAGTTGATTTCCATTCCACCGAAATGAAACGCCAGTGTACTGTGAGAAAGGGTTAAAGAGGAAGGTCTTGACACTATTGAAAAATCCTGTCTTGGACACCTCTACTTGGAAAAATATGGCAACCTTTGAGATTTGAACTACATGCAGGTAATTTTAATAAATCCTTTCAGAAAATCAACTGAAGCACCTGAGTCTGAATACAAAGAACTTTCCCTGGATAAACATTGATGTAAGTTGTATCTTTACTGACTTGTCACTGACTTTGTCACTGACTTAAGTTGCCAACTCTGAATACACCCCTAAAGGGTTTACATATATCTCATCCACTCTCATAATTGAATACAACATCCTCTTCCTCACCTACAAAGCCTTAAACATCAGTTCCACAGGTTACCTAGTTGTACTATCTCTTCCGTGTACCCCCTCACATTTGTTAAAATTAACTAGTTCCAGTTGACTTGTGGTCCCTAGATTTATACTTTCTTTCTTGGGTGGCAGGTTTTTCAGTGTAGCAGGGCCCAAGCTCTGGATTTCACTTCCACAGACCATCAGTGAAATCTTATCTCTGGCTGCCTTCATGCCTTATATTTTTTTCAATGATGTCACTCTCTCATAGATATCTTTTCTGTACACTCTCTCAGTACACAACATCTCTTATTGTTTTTCTCCCCACCTGTCAGTGTCAGTGTCAGTATTCTGCTTCCCAATATGCATTGCTGATGTAATAAATGCTGTTTGTTTTTTTGTTGGTATTGGATTTTATGATGTGTAATGCAGTCCCTACACCAGGTACAGCTGTTCCTGTCATGTTGGGACACTTTCACATCTATTAGTCCATTTGCAGCATCTAAATCAGAGTGCAAATTGATGCTTTTCTTTCATTTGCTCCTTGGGTTGGTTTTGTTTCACACGACACATAATTAAACCAAGCAAAAAAAAGCAAAAAAATATCACATAACACCAAAAAAATAAAAATAAATCTCTGGCTGAGGAGTGTGTAGGGCTGAAAATTTCCTTGTAAAATATGATGGAAATAAGGTGAACAAAAGGTTCAAAATCTGTTACCAAGTGCGTATAGAAATCACAAAATTCACAGAGCACAGATAACACAGAGCAGGTGCTAAAGAAATGATTATATAGATGTTGTTGTTGCTCTTCTTTTGGCTGCTCCTGTTAGGGGTCACCACAGCGGATCAGTGGTCCACATATTTTGATTTGGTACTGCTTTTCTTGATGCAAACCTCTCCAATTTTATCAGGTCTTGGGACCAGCACTGGGAGTGCACTGTTATGTGCAACCCCAGTGGCTGGGGTTGGTTCCCTGCCCGGGAACTGAACCCGGGGCCGCAGCAGCAAGAGCGCTGAGGCCTAACCACTAGTCCTCCAGGGACCCCTATATAATTATATAAATAACTAGATTAAAATTTTGTGTATCGCATCCACTGTTTATTTTCTATATTGTTTGCTCGAATATCCAGAACACACATTTCTTCAGCTCTACAGCTCTGGGCTTTGGCTCATGGCTCATTTTAGCTGCTCACATCTACAAAAAAGTTGCATGCAACCAAAAATATATGGCATATTTGGTTCAGTTTCAGGATCGAATGACTTTCTCACAAACGCTTTAGAGTTCCAATGGAACCAGGTTGAGACCACCTTGCTCAGACCATCTCATACCGGTTATTTTGGTGCCATTGCTGTGTTCTCACCTGGATTAAAATATGTGCTGCATATGTGAAACCATGCTTAGACACTGTATCACTAGGAGTCCTTCAAACCTCAGAAATTCCACTTACAGCGAGAGTCATGTAATCAGTATTGGATCCAAACAGGCCAAGCAGGGCTGTGTAAGACGATTGGCCGTAGCCTTTTCCCTCCTGTAAAACAGCGGCCATGTGCTCGAGGTGCCATGCCAGGAGAGCATGTCACATCGCATCACAGTTGCCGATGAATATTCATTACAGAGTTACGTGCTACTTTCTCTCTCTCTCTCTCTCTCTCTCCCCCTCTATATCTCTCCTCGTCTTTCTATTTCTCTCACCTTTTTCTTTGACAGATCTTACTGGCACCGGACACATGACAGGCGTCGTAGTCGTAGATCATGTGCTCATGTGTTGGGATTGGGCCTTATTGGTGATCACGCTGAGTGCTACATTTGCACATGCATTCAGTCTAGTGTCCTTGCAAACATGGAATAATAGGTTCACTGTCCTCACTGTCTTTCTACTGATTGTGTGTGGCCTGTATCCCTGGTGGGATCGTCTTCATGGGCCAATGTCCAATATTCATTAAACTGGCTCTTAATACAGATAAATGCAAAGGCAACTACTGTATTTAAAGAGCACTCCCACTGCTCTTCCCATCTTCCTCATATTATTGCTCCTCCTCTTCCTCTGAGTCTCCTTAGCTTTGTTTCTGCAATCTCAGCATCTGCTGTCAGCTTTGAAGCTCTGCAACAAAATGAATTATTCCTATAATCAAACTTGGGTTCATTTAATAATAAAGAAGTGTCTTCTTATAAACTTCTTCTTAGAAGTGAACTAATGAATGAGTGAGTAAATGAGTGAATGAATGACTGAGTGGGCACATGTTCACTAAAATTATATAATTTTAATACAATATAAAAAAATTGTTCTTATTATAAAACATTTGACAGTTATATAGTCTTTATGGTCTTTCCATACCTGCATGAGATACGTGGGGGCCCTAAGATGGGCAAGGATGAGATCTGCAGTCTTTTGCAAGTGAAGACTTATGGATTTTATGCCTCTTCCAGAATAAACAGAACAGAAAGTGAGTTTGACCAAACAGCGGCTGTTGCATGTGGCATTATTTTTATTTTCATCCCATTCTGGCCCTTTCCGAAGGAATTGTGACCAATCCCACCCCTCTCCAGCAGAAAGTTTGATCAATCCCACCTGCTCCTGTAGAAAGTTTGACCAATCCCACTCGCTCCCAGAGAAGGTTTCACCAATCCCACCTGCTCCTGTAGAAAGTTTGACCAATCCCACTCGCTCCCAGAGAAGGTTTCACCAATCCCATCTGCACCCATAGAAAGTTTGACCAATCCCACCCACTTCCACAGAAGGTTTCACCAATCCCATCTGCACCCATAGAAAGTTTGACCAATTCCCCACCATCCTGCTGAAAGTTTGACCAATTCCACCTGCTCCTGTAGAAAGTTTGACCAATCCCACTCGCTCCCACAGAAGGTTTCACCAATCCCATCTGCACCCATAGAAAGTTTGACCAACTCCCCACCATCCTGCAGAAAGTTTGACCAATTCCCCACCATCCTCCAGAAAGTTTGACCAATCCTACCCGCTCCTGCAGAAAGTTTGACCAACCCCGCCCACTGCCTGCAATATTTTTTTTCTAATGAACGTAGTTGGTTCTATTTTTCACAATGTAAGCAAATTAGTCAATTAAACCACCATGACTCTGACCAGGATGAAGCAGTTCCTAAAGATGAACGAATGAAAGCAGTAAATGCCTCACACTGCACCACATAAGCATCATATACGCTGTCATGTTAATGAACATGGCCTTTCTTTGTCCCGCCAGCTTCATATCTAACCACCTACTCTCACCAGCAAGAATGTAGAGCCAAATTTGTTAGAGAAAAAGACTTGTTTAGAAAGTGCACCAAATTGTTCAATCTTAGAAATAAAAATGTTCTTTATGTATTCTTTGGTTAATTAATGATTTATGCATTGCAAAATGGTTATACCTGGTACCTTCTGTGAAAGAGAAGCTGTTAGTTGCAGGATATAGGGCTCCACACTGGACAAACTGGAGAGCCAATCTGGGTTAGGGTACTATATATAGGGTATGGATAAGTTTGAAAATGCCTTTACTTACATGAATTAGCACTTCCTATTCACGTCCTTCAATGAATCATCAAAATATACTTAGACTATTGACATTACTAAAGTGAAACACACTTGAATAGCCAGTTAGTAAGTAGTACCATGATTATGCTGGCATGAGCAAGAAGTGAAATATAATAATGTGTTTCTAAAAGGTGCTGGAGAGCCAAAAATTGAAGACTTTCACTGACACTCATCAGATGTGACAGCTTGATGAATTACAGCGAGCAAGAGAATTAGCATGCAGATAATCAGGCTGTCTAAACAGGAGAGGAATATTATGTTTTTAAAGTGTTTAAAACTTCCTTTAAAGGAAGCTTGTTAATGGCTCATAAGACCTTCCCCTGAGACCGCATTACCCAGGAGGAAGCTCTGTGTTTGCAGAGGGCTAGTACTCATTCAGCCTGCTAAGCATTCTGGCAAGGAAATTCACACACTTCAAATAAATAGATCATTTTCCTGAGAGCCCCGCGACTGGTGCAATTCACCTCCTTTGTGCCGCTTGTTAAAGGATTCTGTTTTATTGGTAGAATAAACAGAGTTTAAGTTAGTAATGGAGGTGAATAATGAAATGGTGCCAACTCCTGCTCCTGACCACACAACCAGACAGGAAAAGGAAATCACGTCTAATCAGGTGTTGCCATTAATCATGTTTTTTGCATTGAAGGGTCACCCTTCATTTAACATGACCCGGCATGCAGGGGGGAAAATGACTGCTCCAACCCGGCTGGTGACACTTTTTTGATGAATGATCGGAAAACACAGGCTGCCGTGTATACACCCTGCCCTGGCTAACCATGCTAGCTTCGTGAAAAGACGCATGGCCCAGTGGCCCATCTGGACATTCCATTTTTTTGGCAGCCAGACCTCTTAGGGTCAGTTCACAGGACCTGGGAGTGCCCCCTCCATGTATGATCCTTTTATCTGAATATGTAGCCACTCACTTCCTGTGTTGAAGGTTTTGGAGAGCATGGCCCAGAGGCTTTCACACCTGTCAGCGCTTTGCAAGGTTTATTAGTTGAGAAAAGATGATGGTGGCACGAACCGACCCCCTCACCTTTAACCTTCAAGTTCCTTCTCCACCCAGGGTATCAATGGCTGGTGTTTTATAGTGAGAAAAGCCTGACTTATAGTCTGAACCTTGAACCCTGATAACAGCTCCAGAAGAAGCTCCTGAGAAGAATTGCACTGTTATGATCTCTGCCTAATGGGGTTGCATCGACTGGTTGACTAGTTGCCGCTGTGGGGATGTCGACTAGTCTGGATGATGGAAAAAACAGTTACGCGGTTGGTAAATAAAGCAGATTAAATCTACTTTGTTAGTCTGAAAATATTTCAGACTAGATTAATCCAATTCTACAGCCAACTGCATATTGTGTAAGACTACACTGGGAAAAGTCTTTTCTAGGCTACGTTTACACGACAACGATGTAGTCAAAAACGGAAAAGTTTTTCTCTTGCATTTTCAAAAAGTTTCACGTATACACGACAATGTTTTCAAAACGATTCGCGTTTACACATATCCG